CCCCCGCCGCCCCCCGCCCCACATAATGAGCCGTAATAAAGTCATCGGTCCTTTGATTGCCGGGCGGGGGGGGGAAACATCGCAGCTCCCCCGCCCTAATTAGCCCGGGACAATATTCCGCCATCTGGATCCGCCACGGGCGCAGCTGCGAGCGCGGGGTCCCGAGGGTGGGGATCCCGGGGACGGGGTGTCCCTGCGGTGGGGCCGGGACCCACGGCTGCGGCCCCGCGGTGCTGCGGGAGGAACAGGTGCCGGGTCCCGGTGATCCCGGGAACGCGGCTCTGGAAGGGCACTGGCAGCAGCACGGGGCTCACCGCCGCGGTGACGGCACCCTCGGGGGAGTGGCCCCCGGTTCTGACCCCGCTCTCTCCCCCCGGTGCTGGTGCCGGGTGTGCCGGGTGTCTGTCGGGGTTCACCCTCCATCCTCGCCCCGCGAACCGGGTGTCCCATCCGGGGGTGGGCACGGTCCGGGACCCACCGGCCTCGCGTGGATGTGGCATCGGGTGCCCCGTGCCCATGTCGGGGAGGGTCGTGACATGTCCCATCCTTCACCCCCCGCCCCGCACCGAGGTCTCCGCTCGGTSCCCCGCGCCGGGACCCCCGCGCCGYCGCCGCCGCCGCTGCCGGGGGATCCGGTTACGGCCCGGCCCGGCCCAGCTGTCGGCCATCGCTCACCGAGCGGGGACGGCCGGGCTCGCCTGCCCAAAACCCCCGCAAGGACGAAGGGAAATGCGGGGGCTGCGGGGCCATCCGGATGTGGGGACACAGGGATGGGGGTCCCAACTGCGGCTGRAGGGGTGCGGTGCAGTGTTAGGGTCCCAATCGAAGAGAAAAGGGTTGGGTGTGGAATGGGGCTCCCAAATGGGACTGGAGTGCCGGGAGAGTAGGATTGGGGTCTCTCTCCAGTGGGGCTGGAGGCCTTGGGGTGCGAGGTGATAGTCACAAACAGGGAAGGAGGGTTTGGTGCACAGGATTGGCGTCCCAAAGAGGGCTGGAGAGGTGGGGCATCAGGATGGATGTTCCAAACGGGGCCACAGGGATTGGGATGCAAAATTGGAATTCCAACCGAGGCTGAAAGGGTGAGGGTGCAAGATGGGGGTCCACGCTGGGGTCAGAGGGATGGGGATCCAAAATAGGAATGCAGGGATGGAGGTGTGGGACAGTGGTCCCAACTGGCACCGGAGAGCTGGGGGTGCAGKGTGGGGGTCGCAATTAGGACTGGAGGAGTGAAGGTGCAGAGTGAGGATCCCAAACAGGGCTGGGGGTGCAGGACGGGGGTCCAAATCGGGGCTGTCTGTGGGAGAGTGGGCGGRTAGGTGGGTKGRTGGAARGACAGAGGGACAGATGGATGGATGGACGGACCGACGGATGCCGGGGGTGGCGAGGCGGGGGCTGTCCCTGTGTCTGTCAGCAGCGGCTCTGGCAGCCAGTTACAGACGGCAGAGCAGGAAGCCCCCGGAGCCCCCCACGCCCCCCCAGTCATGCACCCCCTCCCTTATCAGCGCCGGCCCCGGAGGAGCCTAATTCAAACCAACTGCGGGGCTGACGTTGGTAAATGAGCCCCCCGCCCACGGCCTGGCCCCAGCGCCCACGGGGGCTGCCCCGGAGAAGGGGGGACATGAGGGCTGGGGGATCCAGCGGGGCAGGGGCAGCTACCGGGGGGATGTTCCTGTACCCCCGAGGCGCCGTCACGCTGGAGGCACTTTGATGTCCCCCCCGCCCCGTCATGCTCCGAGGGGGCTAATGGCCCCCGGCTCCAGCCCGGCAGAGAGGGAAACCTGAGCCCCCCATCCCCCTGTCCTGAAGCTGGGGACAGTCGGGGGTCCCCAGCTCTGCCTGGTGGATCTGGGCATAGCACGGACCCCCATGACCAGGGGGTGTGGGACCCTCAGGGCTCCCACGGGGGATGGTGGCACCCCCAGCCTGGAGGGTCCCAGGGTCCGGATGTGGGGTGAGAGGCGAAGGCACCCACCCGCGGTGTCACAGGGATGTGCCAGGGGGCTGCAGGTGCAGGACTGGGACCCCACGGGGAGACTCCTCAAGCCCCCTGTCCCCACAGCCTTGCTGCTCWTGTGCCAGTGTGGGGGCACTGGGGGCACAGAAGCACCCCTCCCTCCCATACCGGTGTCCCCAAGCACTCCCCCCTCACTGGGGCTCATCCCCAGCCCTCTCCAAAGACCCCACAGGATCCACCAGCCCCATGGACCCTCCCTCTGGGACTAGGACCCACTATCCCCTGCCCTAACCTGGGGGTGGGCGCGGGTGCTGGACCCCGTGTTGCTGAGCCCCCCGGCTGTGCAGAGCTGCCCTGACTGCACCGTCCTCGCAATGCTCCGGCAGGACCGGCTCCATGCAGCCCTGACAGAGACAGATGAACCCCCAGCACCTTCCTTCATACCCCACTGCCTGGTGAGGGGCCATGCCAGGGGTCCTGGTGGACACTGGGACAGTGGGATGGGCTGGATGGGACACTGTGACACAGTATTGCCCCACGTCCTGATCTCCTCCCACCTCAGAACACCCACCGGGCCCATGGAAGCACAGGGACATCCCTGCGGTGCTCATCCCATCCCATCCCCATCCCCATCCCCATCCCCATCCCATCCCATCCCATCCCATCCCATCCCATCCCATCCCATCCCATCCCATCCCATCCCATCCCATCCCATCCCATCCCATCCCATCCCATCCCATCCCATCCCATCCCATCCCATCCCATCCCATCCCATCCCATCCCGCTCATGCCCAGCGGCGCACGGCGCAGGCACACGGCTGTCACGATGGGAATGAGCTGTCACGACGGGAATGAGCCGTCGCGCCAGCGCGGGGACGTTCCCTGTAACGAGGAGCCGGGATGAGGCTGATGAGAAAATCCAAACGCAATTTAATTCCTGTCACYGCCTGAGCGGCTCTAAATGACGCCGGGGGGTTCTGACGGGCCCACGCTGAGCCCCCCCAGCCCCCACCACACTGTGCCCYCCTCACCTCCGCTGGCCCCGCCGGGCCCGTGCTTCCTGCCCGCTTCCTGAGGATGTGGGCACCGGCGCTGGCACCGGGATGCCCGGCGGCGTGGGAAGGGGGGCGAGGGGGGGGCACCTTCCTGCGGACAGAGGGGTCACGGCAGGGCCTGGGAAAGTGCCGCCCCCGGGACCCCGACACCCCCGCAGCCACCTGGGGGACCCCCGGGATTGCCAGGAGCACCCCGCGCTGCTGATGGCACCGAGCTGTGGCACCCAGCCTTGTCACCAGCACCCCCGGACTCCTGGACGCTCAATCCCAGCTGCTGGGTGGTGACAGCACGAATGTCCCCAGCAAAGGGGGCACCGAGCACCGCCAGCCCCTCTTGGCACGGGTGTGAGGGGTGGCGGGGCCGTGGATATGGGATGCTAAGGGCATCCCCTCAAATCTCCCGGTTTATTTTGGCTGCCAAAATAAAGGTTTTCCTCCAAACCTTTGTCCGATGGCTGCAGCCCCCACCCCACGACCCCCGGCTTCCTTCGTGTCAGCTCGGGCGGGGGGATGAGCCCACCGGGACCGGCGGGGTGGGAATGATCGGGGGAAGCTCCAGTGCCTGCGGTGCTGCGGTGTGCACGGGAGGGACACGGGATGGGATATGGGATATGGGATAGGATATGGGATGGGATATGGGATGGGATATGGGGATGGGATATGGAATGGGATATGGGATGGAATATGGGAATGGGATATGGGATATGGGATGGGATATGGAGATAGGATATAGGATATGGGAAGGGATATAGGGATGGGATATGGGATGGAAAATGGGATGGGATATGGGATGAGATATGCGGATGGAATATGGGGATGGGATATGCAGATGGAATATGGGGATGGGATATGGGATGGGATATGGGATGGGATATGGGATAGGATATGGGGATGGGATATGGGATGAGATATGGGGATGGAATATGGGGATGGAATATGGGGATGGAATATGGGGTGGGATATGGGGATGGGATATGCGATGTTCCATGGAGCACGCAGCAGATGCACACGTGGGGTACAGGAGGGCACAGAGGGCAGGTGTGGGTGCTCTTGGGGAGGTGACAGCCTGGTCCCCAGTGCCAGGCTGGTGCAGGTGCTGTGACTTGGGTACTGATGCCCCAATGTGGCTGCTGCTGCTGTGATGTGGTTGGCACGCATGGGTGCCTTGGTGCCAGAGCCACGGTGTGGGTCTTGGTGCCACAATGTGAGTGTCAGTGCCATGGTGTGGGTGTCAGTGCCACAATGTGGGTGTCAGTGCCATGGTGTGGTTATCAGTGCCATGGTGTGGATGCCAGCACCACCACCGGGGTCCCAGTGCCCTGTACGTCCCAGTGCAGTGGCTCTCGCCATCCCCGCTTTGTTCCACCCTTTGAAGTCGGTGTTTCCTGGCGGTTTTTCCCAGCCCGTCTGCGCCGGTGCTTCCCAGCTGCAAATCACCCGGCACGGGGGTTCGACGGCCGTGTGCCCACGGCCACAGCCCGACCAGTGGCTCCCACCAAACCCACCTTCACCTGGGACCTGCCAGGGCAGGGCAAAGACTCACTGGAGCCCCGTGGTGCTGTCAGGACGGACATCATAGTGGTCCCTTCCTCTCGGACCCCTCATCCCCCTGACTCCCTGATGGTACAACCAAACGTGGGTAACCCCAGGGYTGGAATTTGGG